GATTAAAGGGAAATTTTATTTGGTATTTTACCACAGTCCTTTAACTCAATAGGCGCGATGGCTCAGTCGGTAGAGTAGTGGTCTCGATACCCGGTGATCCGGGTTCGAAACCATGTCGATGCGCTAGTGCCCTTTGGTAAGGCATTAATCCTCATTACCAGGTCCCTCGGAGAGGACATTAAGCCGTCGGTCTTCTGGTTGCTTACTAACAAGCATTTATTGCTTTCTTAGCTGTCAGGTAAAATAACCACCACTATCACTATTATTTTATGATCCTTTACACTATCATACAGAGGAGGACAAAATAAAGAATAAAGAATATTGATGACCATAATTGTTAATGTATTAATTACAATGTAGGGGTATATACCATACCCAATAATAATATTTTTTCGCTTTAAGAGTGCCCATTGTAGGTGCCAAATTTGTCAAGATAGTGCCATTTTTTTTGGTAGTGCACACTTACTTTGAAAGACGCTCCGCAGCCACTGTAGAGGTTGTCCTAAATGTTTTTTTTCTTCGAATTACTGCAAATGATTAGTACTGTAGTATGACGAGGAAACGATAAGTATAAAGGTGGGGAGACATCAGGGGAAAAGAAAACAAAGAGAGAGAGAGAGAGAGAGAGCGAGAAAGGGGGAAAGAACAGAGAAATGTCCCGGTAACCAAAATATGGTTTAATACGAGCATATTTCTCATATTGTTCTCGTGAAGACAGTGACATTAAAGGTAATACAAAGTTTTGGTATGGGGTCGTGAATTTGGTTCAAATGAACATATTGGAAGCATATGCGATCCTACAATATTCACTGATCGTTGTCGCGGTCGAAATCGACTCTTAAGTTATGAAATTGTAAATAATAAATACTTTATGTTGTATAGCTCCCTCTCAAGGTCAAATATTCATTAAGCTGTAAAACAATGTTTCTTGACTAAAATCGACCGATTAGCTATTCCCGTTCGGAAATTATATACCACAACTACATATTCTGAGATTTTCATGGTCGCAGCTACCATTGTACGGCCGTAGGAGCTATTTGAAAATTTTCAAAATTTACCGGGAGCACCGGTAAATCTTTATATTTAATTTTTCTCGAAAGCAGAAGTGTTTTAGGGGCTAAAATTTCTAGTCCTTTCAATTCATCCCCAGAGGCATCCAAATATATCAAAATTGTAAAGAATCACTATCCACCCATTTTTCAAAATTTCCCAAAACTTTGTAATACCTTTAAATAGAAAAAGAAATAGATAGTACCAGCATAAGAGGGTTGTACGCGCCTGGTGGATGCCCGCCCACAGAGCTCTGCACTTTACTGTATATTTTTCTTGTTTAATCTGTTATTCAGTTACTTTATCTATATCATCTGATTCTGTATGTCTTCAGGAGGCTACTAGACTATTTCGGCCATATTTCATGTGATATTTGTCATATTACATCTACTGGTTTTGCATTCACCACTGCCTTACTTGTGTCGTAAGTAGCCATATTCACTTGCCTGTCATACCTTTACTCCACATGTTAGTGCACAGTCTGCACGGTCGTACGAGTTTTACAATGAAGGTGGCTATCCTAATAGCCTTTGTATCTATTGTATGCATTGTATGTTACACCACTGATTCTTGTACTGTACTTGTGCATTATACCACTGATTCATGTAATGTAGCTGTACAACATCAACATAAGGGAAAGTACAAGTTCATTGGTACTCCCATTCAGCGGTATGCTTATTCTGTTTCAAGATTCCGCATTTTACTACTGATCTCGGGAGACAACCGCCCCAACCCTGGGCCTTCCTGATTTCTCAAGGACCTAAGAGCGCCAAGATAAGCAAAAATAATCTTGGTTACCTCAATCAAGATATCTGCTTCTCCTTTACCAATCGATCAAGGGGAGAATGTAGGGTGCGATCGCTTTATCTTCTAACCATAATGATGACGATGATAATAATAATAATAATAGTAGTGATAGTTATTTGTATGTAATAATATATAATGATATATAATAATAATAATAACAATAATAATAATACTGATAATGATGATGACGATATAGTAATGATAATAATATTTCATTGTAGCACCAGACAGCTTCTCCAGTAAGGACAATGATAAAGAATATAGGCCTATTTAAAATTCATTCGATTTTCGGGAAATTAAACCAAAATTGGTGGGGTCTACATAAACAACATAAACTGTTGGTCATAATGGTGGAATAATCATTTTTACCCCAATTTATGGAATGATTTTGACAATGATTTATTTCTAATAGATCTACATAATAGTATACATTCTCAGATGTTATTGAATAATAATTTGTGAGTGTTTATTTTGCGTGACTGCTAAAGCATGCGTGTGCTACTAGGCTAATCAGCTAGAGGACCCACGTCCTTATGTCATAACTGACAGTAATGAGGATTAATGCCTCACAAAAGGGCACTAATATAGCACATCGACACGGTTTTGATCATGGGGCCTCACAGTAACGAGGCCATTGCTTAGCCAGTGAATCATGACTGTACGCAGCGGTTGTTAGGGTACGCGGCCGCCCCCACAAATCCCCCAAAACGAAGAAAATGCAATAAATTATCAAAAATTCATTACATTTTCCCCCGGCCCCCAACAGAAAAAAATCTTCTGTAGGGCCATGCATTGTGGTTCAAGGCATAGTCACACAGAGGAATCATTCCTGTGGGAGACCGGTGGAAAGTGCAATGAATTTTTGATAATATATTGCATTTTCTTCGTTTTTTTTATTTGTGGGGGCGGCCGCGAACCCTAGCACCCGCTGCATACAGTCATGATTCAGTGGCTAAACAATGGCTTTGTTACTGTGAGGCCCCAGGATCAAAATCGTGTCGATCAGCTATATTAGTGCCCTTTTGTGAGGCATTAATCCTCATTACTGTCAATTATGACTCAAGGACGTAGGTCCCTTAGCTGATTAGCATAGTAGCACACAAATGCTTTAGCAGTCACGCAAAACAAACACTCGTAAAATATTATTCAATAAAATCTGAGAATGTATGCCATTATCTAGATCTATTAGAAATAAATCATTTTTTAAATCCTTCCCTAAACTGGGGTTAAAATAATTATTCCACCATTATAACCTACAGTGTACATGTTAATTCTAATGATCATATTAAGAATTGACTGCCAATTCGCGAAACTGAATGCTTGGGATCACCTTTCAGCCATTCCTGACGAATTTGAGTAAATCTTCGCAGACGTGCCTATAGACGGAATGAATTTCCGACGCTTAATTGAATGATAGCCTCCACCTTCAAATGGTGCATGCGCTGAACTGAAAGAATGTTTCATCAAATGGACTGAAAAAACATTGCGAAATTGGCGGGGAAAGCCTTTAAAAAAGTCATGCACGGTAACTTGTTCTTCATAGAAGCAAGTGGATTGTATATTTTGTATTTATACAATTATAAAATGTCATTTTTTATTAATTAATAACACTACGTACACTTTCAAAGATAATTGTGATACCAGTTTTCACCATGGGTTATATTATTAGTAACAACTTGCATGCATGTGGTAAAATGCCAACTAATATTCCCCTTTAAACTTGCTAATGTTGACTTCTGCGTCGATTGAGGAAGTGTCGAGGTCAAAATATCAAGGAAAATGTTTCTATCTGCAGCATTATCGATCACAAGGGACCTAAATATAAGTGTAATATTATACTTTGTGGAACATAATGAACGAAATGATAACAACGATAATGGCATCGTTTATGGACCCTGCACGCAAGATTCCTACATTCATCGCATTTCCTCATTACATTTTTTTTTTTTGGGGGGGGGGTGTATTACACTCCACTTGTCATTTTCTTCCTCCTTTATACACATGTCACAAAATATGCATCATTAATTTTGTTTCTTTGGTGATGATTGTTTAATTCCAGTGCAGAAAAATCATGCACATGCCCGTAAGTTAAGCCACCATCACACCAAACTAGTTCTCACTACGTTCTGGAACCGTTCTAGAAAATCGTAAAACGGGTTGTGGATGGGGCAAATTGTGTAAATAATGTCTATAATACGATCCTAGTTCTTTCATGAACAGTCTTCAATACGTCCATCTCGTCTGTACCCCGTCAACAGTCAGTTCATATCAAGTTCAGATCGAGCAAATTAGCCATTTCACTGCAGTCCAAGCCAGTCCGTAGTCAGTTTAAACCCATTATTAACTAGTTCCACCTCGTTCCCAATACGTCCAAACCCATTCTAACTAGTTCACCACTAGTTTTTAACCCGACTACCCCGTTAGCCATTTCACTGCAGTCCAAGCCAGTCCGTAGTCAGTTTAAACCCATTATTAACTAGTTCCACCTCGTTCCCAATACGTCCAAACCCATTCTAACTAGTTCACCACTAGTTTTTAACCCGACTACCCCGTTCATAGACAGTTAAACTCGTCCTCATCTCGTTCTTAGTGCGTTCGAACCCGCTCCTAGAGCGTGTGCAAACCCGTCCAAGCTCGGGAGCTATAAAAACCCTGCACGATCTCGCCATTCCTCATTCCGTTCAACTTCAACGCAAATAATCCCATTTTTGGGGACAATGGCCAATGTGGCAAGGAAAATCGGAACGGGCAGAAACGTATTGGTCACAGCAGGCGCGTACGCAGGGGGAGGGTTTTGGAGGTTGAACCCCCCCCCCCTTTGGTATTTTTTATGTGTGTATTTTTGAGGAACCCCCCCCCCCTTTGGTAATTTTGTTTTACTTTTTTAATTAAAAAAAATTATACCAATGGCTGACCTAAAAAAGTTGACTTTACCCCCCCCCCCCCTCCCAACGGAGCAAAACGTCAAATTTTCCAATTTCGAGACCAAAAAGAAATTGTCCTCTTCCCCCTTCCCCCCCCCCCCCCGCTTATTTTTTTTTGTTTGGACCAAGAAGAAAAAAGTGTCCTCTTACCCCCCCCCCCCCGCGCTTATTCTGAGGTGTTGCGAAATTTTCGGCCCGATTTAAAAATGTTAAAACACCCCCCTTGAAAAAATCCTTGAAATTTTTTTGTACTGAGTGAGTTGGGGCGCGTCACAGCTGCTCCAAGTCTCTCCTCAATTAAGTTGGATCTGAGTTCATTTACAATATTCATTTTTATACTAGTTTGTTTGTAATATGCCACTGATCACACAGGAAAATTGTATCTTTGGATAATTTGTATGTATTTATGTGATTGAGATTTGCCTGTCATCAGTTTGTAAGTAGGCCTACATGTAGTAGCCATATTGTACAACACATGTGTAAGTCAATGTTCTCATTCTATTCATCATGTTTAGTGAAGTGTACTCATTCAGTTGTAACCGCTCATTCTGTGAAAGAATCCTGGATCTATTGAGTACTTAACAATAGATTACGTAAGTCATTCACAATGGCTCTCATTCACAAAGTCTCTTATGCTAAGAGCTGTGCTCTTGCTGTCTTGGTGCTGATATGTTGTAGTATCTATTGCACTAGTTCTGGTAGCAATAAACTTGGTATCAATACTCATTTAGTCACAAACTTTTCTCCTAAAGTGTGTTTAAATTCTCAACTCCATGTGAAATATGTTGGTAAAAGAATATCATATTACCCAACTCCTACTTGTGCCTCTACATTTCAATTAAGTTTTGTTCAGTGTGGGGACATACACCCCAATCCAGGTCCCTCCTCAAATAGTGAGAATCCCAATACTAATACCAGTATTGTAGATAGAATATCTATGTCTACCAGTAAAATTAAGTATGACATTCATACCGACTATACAACTTGAACTCTAAGCAATTCAAAATATCTTCATCAGTCTGGTCAACCTTAAACCAAATAGGCATCTGTAGAGGTCGCACCAGGCGATGTCGAAAAGGTGGAAGGTGCCAACGTCGTCTGCAGCTACGGGAAACTGCGGAAGATCCGGTGACATTCGCCCTATGGAACGCCCGATCGCTGAAAAATAAAACACACATATTCTGTGACCTTATGCTTAATTATAAAATAGACATCGCAGCCGTGACCGAGATATGGTTCACGGGCGATGATCGTGACAACATTCCCCTAGCTCAAATATCCTCCACCCTTAAAAATTATGATTTACATCAGATGCCCAGGGTGGGTCGTGTTGGAGGTGGTGTGGCTGTATGCATAAAACAGTCCTTTAATACAAAGAGGTTTGAATCGGCCAACATCTTCAAATCATTTGAATGTATTGATGTACTTGTCACCTCGCATGGACAAGTTCCAACTCGTCTTTTGGTCTTATATAGGCCACAACGAACAGCTTCAGGTCAGTCAACAGAGCACCTTTTTCTACAGCTCATGGAGCAGCTGGTATCTTCATCACATCAGTTAATGATCGTCGGTGACTTCAACTATCACATGGACTCTGCTACAGACTCCAACTCCGTCAGCTTTCTGAATGTTATCTCATCTCTTAATCTTCAGCAACATGTCCAATTTCCAACACATACAAGTGGACACACATTAGATTTGGTTCTTACACGAGCAAATGACAATTTCATCAGTAACGTATCATCAACGAGTTATCTTCCATCTGACCATGTAGCTGTCATATGCTCCATGAATATTCGTAAACCTAAGCCCATTAAGGTGAAGATTAGAACTAGGAAAATACAACAAATTAACATTGAGGCATTTCGTCAAGACATTCTTTTGTCTGAACTATACTCATTTTCTTCCGACAACGTTAACGAACAGGTAGACCAGTTTGAGTATTCGCTTTCCTCTCTCCTTGACAAGCACACCCCTGAAGTTACGCGCATCATCACAAGTCGACCTGAATCTCCATGGTATTGTGATGATCTCCGTCAGCTCAAGCGGGAACTCCGAGCGCTAGAACGAAAAGCTTTTCCGAATGGATTGGAAATTGATCGTGAGAATTTCCGAAAAGCATCCCATCATTACAGTAACCAGCTGGGATCTGCAAGGAGTAAGCATCACCGTGATCAGCTTAGAGAATGTACCCCGCGTGAACTTTTTAAGAAGGTTGAACAGTTGACGCGGCCTACCACTTCTCTATCTATTCCAACCACTGATGGCACTGGTGGATCATTTGAAAGTGGTGAATAAATTTTTTTTTTAAAGAGTAGATTCCGCTATTCTATGCATGGAATTTAAATTCAAATAAAGTGACGCCAAAGTTTATTTCTCCCTAAAGCGATCTTCCACTTTCGTACACACACCTAAATTTGTTTCAGGAAAATGTACAAGGTTTCCTGTTTGAAGGTTTGCATGGTGGTATGAACAATCGCGGAAGAGGTTTACGGTACACCATGTGTAAAGTCCTAGAAGGACTAAGGAAAGTGGATAGAAAATAGAAGTGAATGGAAAGGCGAGAAAGTGGAGGTTGGAAGGAAGAGTATCTTTCGGAAGTGAGTATAGTCCTGAAAAGGACTGTAAACCAGAAAGTTGTAGACAGGATGAGAGGTTTGAGTAGAAGACTGGATTGATTTGGAGAGTTGAGTAGAGTTGCAGAGCAGGAGCAGGAGAGTAGACTCGACGTTTCGGACAGGTTGACTATCCGTCTCCATCTATCCACTTTCCTTAGTCCTTCTAGGACTTTACACATGGTGTACCGTAAACCTCTTCCGCGAAGGTTTCCTGTGTTACCGACTAGTTCACGTATCCAATAATATGTGATACCTCAGTCACGCCAACGAGACCGACGAGAGACCGAACAAAACATTACATTACACAAAATGGTGGAGAAAAGGTTGGTTTGGTAACGATGTCAGTTTAATTTGGTGGTGTGTCTGAGGTATGAAGACCACTTTCAGTTGGGGTTCATCATATGACAATCAATTCCAAACATGTTTTTATAGAAAGCGGCCAAACCCAACATCTATCCTCATCTCTACAATGACAAAAAGGGAAATTAATATAATATGAACTCGGATCCACGGATGAACGAATAAAGATGATCGAGATACGTCACCCCTCACGTATCTGTACAGTATTATCGGCATCAAGCAAATCCTTAAACAGAGGGAAAATGAATGACATCCTGATGATCATGTACTGTGCTGTGGTTTGAACAAGTTTTTTTTATGAAGCGGCCACATTCCTCGACTTAGAAATCAAGCTACCCCACATCTATCCTCATCTCTACGATAACAAAAAGGAACATTCGATTATTAAAATATGAACTCGGATCCACTCCATAGAAAAGAGTACAGAACTGATGATTGAAATACGTCATCTCTGACGTATCTGTGCAGTATTATGGGAATCGAACAAATCCTTTAAAAAAATCCATGTTTAACATTTACGGAGTGATGCGACGTGTCAACAAATACATAAACCGAAGATTGCATGAGGCAGTAAGGAATATGTTTAGAGTATAGGCAACTTATCAAACTTTGATGTAAAGTTAAGATCTAAAAGGGCACAAATACTGTAAACACATTTAGGGGTAGATATTTATCATGAATTGGGATTAAAAATGGGGTTGATTTCCCCTTCACTAATCTATTATTGTCATTGCTTTATAACAATTTAATTCTTATTCATATTAGAGTTTATTTTTACTCACCGATATTTGAACCTTGAACGAAATAATGTTTTTATGTTTGTTCTATATATTTTTGATTCCCAAGCCTTTTGCTGCAGAGGGCAGACCCGTAAAATCCTAAGGTGCTTAAATCTGGTTATCTAGAAGGACTCCCATAAAAACATGGACCCCCTCCACATAAAATCGTAACGAAAAACTTTTCAATTTTACGTGGCTTTGTGTATGCTTCTTTTTGTTTTACTCCACAGACATTTGTTCAATCTGAAGTGGAGGGGCTGATGCGATGAATTTCCAAAACCCTGAATCGTTTTTTAAACTGGTCCTAATTGGGGCTATAATGGGTACTCTGGTATACATCGCTAATATGGATAACGTATCATACACAAAATACAGGTGGGTGAAAAACATTTTACCTCATCAAATTCATTTTTTTTTCTCATAGAATTAGCACTGTTTCTAATATTGGGATTCATTCAGTTATTGAGTTAAGGAGATGAACTTCTTTGGATTAGGGTCAGTTTCATTGTTTCATCTTGCCAATCAGTTATTTTCCAAAAGCCAGAAGGGTGTTAACTCTATTCTAAAATATAAGTGTTGAGGCCCGTCTGGCTATTGGTGGACCCTGCTCTTGAAGGCACAAAGAACCTAAAGTACTGATACCTCTCTGAATGTTTGCATCTCACTATGAACATGACGACAAAGAAAGCGGACAAAATATACAGTTCCTCAGGTAGACAAAGGAACATCCCTTCACTGCTATTATGTAAAAAGGTGAATATGCATTTGACACCTGTTCTACACATTTTTACATAATAGCAGTGAAGGGATGTTCCTTTGTCTACCTGAGGAACTGTATATTTTGTCCGCTTTCTTTGTCAGTCATGTTCATAGTGTCTGTGCTTGAGCAGAACATGTTACACTATGAAAATGACGGACAAAATATACAGTTCCTCATTGTACGCTCAACAATTGCTGTGGTAGACAAAGGAACATCCCTTCACTGCTATAAGGGAGTTTACAGATACAATCTGCGCATGGGCAGATAAAGGTCATTTGTACCAAAAAGGTAAAACCACAGAGATGAATACTGGATATGCGCTCATGAAAGTTATGTAACATTATTCATTTATGCACTTACGGTACATTCTATGATACGCAGGTGGAAGTATTCTTTTCAAGAGGGCAAACAAAAGGTATTCATGAAGCACATCTAGGACTTTGGCAGTTATTATTCTAATATGCTCAAAGTGGAACTTCTCCATGTGTAAAAGATCTGTAGATATTCGGGGTCATTTGTACCATGTGCTATCTGTAAACTCCCTTATTATATAAAAATGTGTAGAACAGGTGTCACATGAATATTCACCTGTTCTACACATTTTTACATAATAGCAGTGAAGGGATGTTCCTTTGTCTACCACAGCAGTTGTTGAAGGTAGAATGAGGAACTGTATATTTTGTCCGCTTTCTTTGTCTGTCATGTTCATAGTGTTACTTGTTTGAAATTGTAAACAACTACTGATGCAATTACTGGATGTAAATATACCCATGAAAGGAATGTAAATCACATTCATTTATACATAGTCAATGCATTCCATTAAAACCAGATGGTGGGAGTATTTCTTCGGTAGTGGTAAAATGCCATTCATGAAACGAAAGGAGTCTGGGTGATTCGGGAGTAGGGTGAACTAGGCATTACATGGGTTATTAGGTTTCAAAAGTGCAAGTTGCTACACACCAGACTAGACCTCAAAGAAGCCCTAAATCTTTTATACAATTTACATCTAGTCGAAAACAATCTTTTTTAACGTACTTAAAATGTTTCACACATTTCTGTCAAATAAAGTTGAAAATCAATGTCTAAGATACACGTACTGTACATAGTGCAAAACTCATTTAAGTCTGTACAAGCAATAAAAGCTCTCCTAGCTAACTCTGCCTTGATTTGGAGCCAAGCATAAGTTGCACAAAGAGCCGAGTTGTGTCAGATCCTCCATAAACGGGGTCTATTCGCTATTCACAAGGACCCCTATTCATAAGGTCCGCTATTCATAAGGACCGCTATTCATAACGTGGAAATACCCGTACTTCCTGGTCCGCTATTCATAATGGTAAAAGAGGGTCACTATTCATAAAGAAATAAGGTTCGTTAATCATAAGGACCGCCATTCATAACGTGAGATGGGGGTCGCTATTTATAATTCATATTAAGGGTCATTAATCATAAGAACCGCTATTCATAATATGAAATCAGGGTCGCTATTCATAATACGAAATAAGGTTCATTACTTATAAGGGTCGCTATTCATAACACGGGAAGAGGGTCGCTATTCATAATACGAAATGAGGGTCGCTATTCATAATAGAAGTAGGGGGTCGCTATTCATAATACGAAATGAGGGTCGCTATTCATAATACGATATGAGGGTCGCTATTCATAATAGGAGTAGGGGGTCGCTATTCATAATACGAAATGAGGTTCGCAATTCATAATAGGAGAAGAGGGTCGCTATTCATAATAGGAGAAGAGAGTCGCTATTCATAATAGGAAATGAGGGTCGCTATTCATAATAGGGGTCGCTATTATGAATAGCGACCCTCATTTCGTATTATAAATAGCGACCCCTTCTAATATTATGAATACCGACCCTCTTCTTTGATTATGAATAGCGGTCCTTACGAATAATGGCCCTTATGAATAATGACCCTTTTCTCCATTTATGAAAAGCGGACCTTATGAATAGCGATCCTTATGAATAGCGGACCTGATGAATAGCGATCCTTATGAATAGCGGACCTTATGAATAGCGGTCCTTATGAATAGCGGACCTTAAGAATAGCGGACCTTATGAATAGCGGTCCTTATGAATAGCGATCCTTATGAATAGCGGACCTTATGACTAGCGGACCTGATGAATAGGCATTGACCCCCATAAACAACCTGGAGCTGTCACTTTGAAAATGATAATGCACTATGTGGGATATCTCCATGACTCAATGATCTAATGAAGATTTAAGATGTTTTTGTGACTACAAGATGTTCAACTAGAATTTACATTAATTGGAAAATCTAATTTAAAGAGGGTTGGAGAACTCGTGTTTTTTTTTTCCTTATATTTTCTTCTTATTTGTTCCTCTATGTGAATAGTTCCATGGATTCTGTTGTGGACCTAATCATTTATTTAACTGATTCAATTTTGCAGATTTGCTGAATCACACATAGTCTACGTAGAAAATGAACTTTCATTTCTCAGAAAAGAACATCAATATAATCATACAACAAGACCGAGGCATCCTCGTCCATTTATCACAATTGCTCCAAATAATTCAGAACTGTCCTTCAGGATAGATCAAAAGTTTACTTTGTCTGTAAGTAAATGTTTGTTTTTATATTTCTCATTCGTCAGAAATGGTATTCTTGTCGGTAATGCTGATTTGATATGATGATAAGGGAATACATTTTTCTTGGTAGTCTGAGATACAAAATTTAGAAGTATTATTATAAGGATCAACCTCCTTATACATTATATATTTTTGTAATAAAAAAAACCCCCAAATATTGATAGCAATCGAAAGTCAATAACACCCAAATGATGCACGCTGATGATAGTCTAGTACTTAATTCATACAGGGAATTTCGCTCAACAAGCCTAGCTTTTCTGAGATTCCCTTTTTTCCTCTCTAAGTTAAATCAAGCAATATAAAATATTTTGTCTTATTATCAAACTTAAATGTACTCTGTAAACTTATTTTATTACACGTACACACTCATCAGTATTTCGTTACTCTAAATAATTCATTTGTTCTATTATATATGGTAATATTGTATGGTTTTTATATGTCATTTTCAATTTGTGGATATTTGAGTGGAAAAATAAATCAAATCAAATCAAATCAAATCTTTGAATAGCAACAAACTCCGTTTCGCAAACGATCAGCCATGCATGGAGTCTTTCGTCTTCTTTGTTAGGGTAGACAGCCAGTGAAAACGAATTCGTTTAATTAAATTATAGAAATGCAAGCATTACTTTAAACGAAGAGAACTTTGTTATTCCTGGCTCATTTTTCCTGATTGAGGTGTCATATGAAAGGGCAGGAAATGAACTGTTGGGAAATGTGATTTTCTCCTTGAAATTCAGATATCGTCCGCCAAATAAATTCTTGGTACCCTTTCTTCATTTTTTTTTAATCACTCATGAGTGAAATGTACATTATATGAGTTGCATCAAATGAAAGAGGAGAATGTGAGCTTTACAAATATGTGTCATTTATAAATTATAATTATGATCAAGTTATGATAAAACATCGATAATTCTCGGTTTCGTTTTTCTGGGACACCCTGTATAATTAACTCTTATCTATCCATTAATCTAATCATTCAACATGGTGGCTGCGGTGGGATAACGGATGATAATATATATAATCGAATTGGTAATTGATCTCTTGAATTCAGTGGAGGCTTTTGATATTTACATATATTCAGGATAGAATATACATAGCTCTCATATAGGTTAAAAAATTGATTCAATAACCAATGTACAACTCTAGTGCTTTTATAGCACTGCCATGCCAAAGGTTGGTTAACTGTAAGAAAAAAATCATCTCTGTATAAAATAACAAACTCTGATGATGACAGCAATTTTTTTTGTAATACGCATGTTCATGTATAAGGGTGTTGTTTTGACAGGGTATGATAGATATATTACCTAAGTCTCATATACATGTATGGACATTGTACAGATTTCATTTCTTTCACACATGAAAACATATAGTCAATAATTACCATGAAAATTTCGAATTTAACACTAAATGATACCTTTTTTGTGTAGATAAAAATGTCCGAAGAAGTTAAATTGAAACAGACACAATTAGTGATGAGCCAAGTACATTATAAGCTGTGTAAATGGCAAAGGTTACATTTATATTATATATGCACTCAGCAACACAAACTATATCTGTTATTCTACCTTTTGAACAATTCCTTTGAAACTATTCTTGCTAATTACAGTTGACTTTGTGTTCGCGTGTATTGTATAGTGTATTACTGGAACTTGGAAGTATCGTTTTTCAACATCATTATCATCATGATTTCATGAATAGGCTTATTAAATATTTCTTAAAACCCTGTTTCTTCAAACAGTCGTGTCCGTATTCATTGCATGCCAAACTACAGGAGTCGCACTGGGCTTCCCAGTACTATCGACCTGGAGTAAAGATGATCATGACAAATGGCAATATTAACCAGGAAGAATATCGACGCTTGAATAAATACGATATGCCGTTCGGATTTTTTTATAGAAAAAAGCTAACATTTCAAGGTGAGATTGCTGTACGGGAAAATGGAGAATGAACCGTGTAGTGATGTAAATATATGTAGAGTAAATGTTCTTTACAAACAAAAAGAGCCAATTTGTACTGGAAACTGAATTTGAATATTTGTTTCTTTATTACCACTTTGCCCATGTAAAGATTTATTAGTCCAAGTTATTTTTGTCCCATACAGTCCAACAACATCAAAGTTTGTAGTATATCGGATGATACTATCAACTTGATACCTTTTCTAGTCTACAATTATCTTAGACCAGACCAAATAACGAGGAAACTGGCATTTGTGATGATATCATTTTTGTGTTTTTCTTTATTCTCATTAATCTGAGACAGCAAATTTTCAAATATATAGGACTACTTGTACGTTGAATTCAATTCAGCAAACTTCTCTATTCTAGCTTATAATGGGTTTCATGTCTGAACATTTATAATACTCAAATAACCAAATTATGTTGAGAATGCCTTATATTTCATCGTTTGCATCAGAGCTCTCCAAAACATTGAAACTATTTTCGGAGGACGAATCCGTTCTAGATTTCGGGAATCATCAGAGACCTCGATGCCTGAGCTGTGCGGTCGTGGGAAACGGGGGAATACTGAAAGGATCTGGCATGGGCAAGGAAATAGACAACCACAGCATGGTGTTCAGGTAAAAATAATCATACCAGTGTCTTGTTTTGAATGATCTGTATTACAATGAAGTTCATTTAGCTTATTCGAAATTAGCATGAGTGTGTATTAAAGAGAAGGTTGAGTTTTGGGAAGAGGTGAAAAATAATTTGTGAGCGTTATCATTCTTATTATGCAAGTGTGGAAGAACATTAAATAAGACATGTTCCCTGAAAAGCATGGCTCTTCCAATGCCTTCATATTCCAAATATGTCATGTAACATCGTAACACTCGGGGGTAGGATTTTTACGCCACGTGTTCGTGTAGTCCCATATACATCTCTCTGTGTACAGTGTTTGTAACTTTACCAAGACTTGGCCAAATTTCTTATCATTTTGATGATTCCAGAACCTTGCAATACACAAAAATTCTTATTTGCTAGATGATCAACCTTTTCTGGTCGATTCCACACCGTTTCTTTCACAATGCAATCGCATGACCAGAATTCAACTTCATCTTTAAAGAGGACTATTTATATGACCCTCAGGATTATTGCAGATGGAAATACATGTGATATGTTGTTGAAAAACTTCATTCGCAGTGTTCAATCATATAAGAATGTTGAAAAGGAGCTATTGAAATATTTATAACCTATGAAATGCCTTTGTAAAACTACCGTTTATGAAGTATTACTATGTTAATTACTTTCTTATTATCAACGTTCGGAATATATCCATAGCCTTAGGATAATCACTCATGTAGATGTAATTGTTGTTTCTTTCTCCCTTTATTATCTCTATTTCAAACAAACCCCCTGGTCTGACCCGACAAAAATATTCGTTTGCAATAAAAAGCAAACATTAAAAAAAAAACTCTATTATTGTTGTCTATGATATGCTTGATCTAAGCAAAATCAGCAGTAACATAAAATATTTAAGGCTGTGATTTCTAACAAAAACTGCCGCAGAGGCATTCAACACCTCTGGTTGTGTGTACCCTATTAGGAGTATCCAAATACTAGCAAATTCAGGATATATCAATAAGGGAGTTTACAAAGAGTGTAACAACACATTAAAAATGATTATAATATACATGTTTATACAATACCGGTACACACTATTCAGAATATTGTCCTTGAGTTGATAGCACATGGTACAAATGACCCCAAATATCCGCAGATCTTTTACACATGCAGAAGTTCCACTTTGAGCAGCTTAGAATAATAAATGCCAAAGTCCTAGATGTGCTTCATGAATACCTTTTGTTTGCCCTCTTGAAAAGAATACTTCCACCTGTGTATCTTAGAATGTACCGTTGGTGCATAAATGAATAATGTTACATAACTTTCATGAGCGAATATCCAGTATTTATCTTTGTGGGTTTTACCTTTTTGGTACATATGACCTTTATCTGCTCATGCTCAGACTGCACCCGTATAATGGCTTATTAACTAACACAGTATCGTTTCTTTTGAATAAAATCAAGAACTGAAGGTGAAATTTCTCCATTTTATTTCAGAGTTAACAATTGTCTCAGGAGAGGCTTTGAAAACGATGTTGGTAATCGGACAACGCACTATGTATTCATGGACAGATCCCTCAGCCATACGCAACAGGCTGATATACCAAGAGATAAGGTAGACAATTTAGTTGAATGTCACATGCACAGGCGACAATTGCTCCGCAAATAAAGTCCAACTCTAAACTAATGCCTAACTTCAAACCTGGACCACACCCTTTAAGCCTTTAACACCTTTTAACCCTAACACTTACCCCTCCTCCCCCCCCCCCCCCAACCTCACCTAATACCGCATTGCAACCCTAAAGGGATTGGGTAACTTTGCCTCAGATTCTAAAAGAAAATCCTGGATTTAGCTCATGCTGCAATCATAAATCTTTAGGTCATACATGAATCCCATGAGTTTTACAAGCCAATCGCCTGTCCGATTGTCAAGATATCTTTGATTGGAATTAGAAATTTAAGAATTCGTTTTCCTAACGGTTTTCATAACACTTCAGTCTATCGGGAAATTGAATAGGGTAAAATCGGTCACTCAATTTTTTAAAAACTTTTTTGAGGCACTTCATGATCATAATAATAATAATAATATGGATATTTATATAGCGCCGGTATCCGCCAGGCTCTGACGCTCATGGCGCTGTACATACATGTATTACTATCACGAAAATATAACATTCTTAACTAAAATAAAGTAAACTAAAACAACACAAATTATTACGCTACATTGAAATGATTAAATAGCACTGTTTAAAAAGAGATGGGTTTTTGGAGCAACTTTGAAGGCATGAAGGGTAGTTAAATTACGAATACTAAGTGGCAGCTTAGTCCAAAGGGACGGACCAGAATGAGAAAATGCTCTATCCCCCAGGAACTGCGCGTCTTAGGGACAACTAATAAGGAGGATTGAGATGAACGAATACGTCTTGTAGGCTTATACTTAACAATCAACTTGATATTGTAGGAAGGAGCAGAGTCATACAATGAATGGAAAACTAACAACAACAACTTAAAAATAATTCGGTCACATACCGGGAGCCAGTGAAGAGTTTTGAGAATGGGGGTGATGTGGGTTCTTCGAGAAGAAAGTGTGACAATACGTGCAGCAGTATTTTGCAGTTTCTGAAGTCGAGAAAGTTGTGTGTTAGGGAGTAGATAGAGAATAGAATTACAGAAATCTAAGCGTGATGAAATAAGAGCATGTACAAGTTTCTCTGTGGTTGAACGACTTAAGTATTTCCTAATAAAACCTAGATTTCTAAGTTGATATCTGACTGACTTACAAATACTAGAAACATGAGTTGACAATGACATAGACGAGTTTAACATGACACCAAGGTTACGACATTGCAAGGAAGGACTAATTACAGAATCTGATATGGATATATTGAACGACTGTATCTTAGCAAGATTTGATTTGGAACCCAATAAAATTAGTTCAGTTTTACTATCATTCAGTTTGAGTGAGTTCGAGTTCATCCAAGTTTGCACATCTTTGACGCAAGCTTCGAGTAGTTTAACCGTCCGACTTGCGTAATTTTGATTGGGAAGGAACGATGCGTAGATCTGGATGTCATCTGCATAGCAGTGATACATGACATCATGCTGCTGTAAAACTTGCTTGAGCCTAGTGATGTACAAGGAAAACAGCAACGGCCCCCCGACTGACCCCTGCGGGACGCCACAACTGAGCTTGACAGGATCAGATCTTTCATGATTTACACATACCAATTGCTGCCGTTCATCCAAATAGGACATGAACCATTCAAGTGCGTGGTCACGAATTCCAATTGATGACAATACATTGACAAGAATACGATGGTCCACAGTATCAAATGCTGCCGACAGGTCTAATAACACGACTGCTGTGATCCTTCCAACATCCATTTCTGTCAGGATGTTGTTGGACAGGTTGACGAGCAGGGTCTCAACACTGTGATTTGCACGGTGAGCTGACTGGTGATTGTCAAGTAGATCATTCTCCTGTAGGTAATCATACAATCTAGAGAAGGCTACTCGCTCCAGAAGTTTCGACAAGTAAGGTAGATTCGAGACTGGACGATAGTTCTGGAGACATTCTGGATCTAATGAAGGCTTCTTCAGTAGTGGATGAATATGAGCGATCTTCAAGGCTTTCTCTGCAGACTCAGGTTGACCACATCGGCAATGTAAGGAGATATGATAGCGGCACATTCTGTAAGAAGCTTAGTTGGAATCGGATCAAGCTCACATGATTTAACAGGGTTGTTGCGGATAAGGGACTCAATTTCCTCGGAAGTAGTATCTGCAAGTGTTGCAAGTCCAATACAAGACAGTGGTGGAAGTGGAGCAACATCAGTACAGAGGTTCCTTCGAATACTGTCAATCTTGGAAACAAAGAACTGGCTGAAGAGCGACGCTAGGGATTTGTTGCATGCGTTCGCTGGAAGTGGAGATGTCTGTTTGCGATTCAAGAGTGCATTAGCAATTTTTAACATCTTCTGGGAGTCGTTACCACAGTCACTTATTGATTGCTGGTAGTAATCATGTTTTGATTTGCGGAGAAGAGAGTGCACATGTTGTTTCTGTTTGTAATACAGTTGACGATCGATCTCCAACTTCGAAAATCGCCACTTCTTTTCCAGGCGCCTACGTTCTTGTTTCTCACTTTTAATTTCGTGAGTAAACCAAGGAGTATGAGCTCGTGTCTTGACAGTTCGGGATGTGGCTGGTGCGTGGACATCTAATCAGTCACTGAGAACCATGTTATACAAGTCGACTCTAGCTGTTACATCGTCAGTGGATGAAGATGTCGAGGAAAGCTCGCTGTTCATCATATCTGATGCAAATGATGTTCTGTCAATTGCTCTGATGTTACGCATGACTCGAGGATGTACAACTGATGGAGGTTTGTGCAGATGTATATTGCACAAAATTGCAGAATGGTCCGAAATACCTGGAGTTATCCGAAGGTCTGAGAACACCTTGTCATCCGATTGACGAGATATAATGAAAGTTTATGATGAAACATACCTGATATATTTCCTCTATATAGAGAGAGAGAGAAATATGCCACTAAATCTCCTTTAGATATTCACTCATGCTGTTGTAATTGTAACAGAACTATTTAAATCACTTTCATATCAAATAGCCACTTACAAAACAAAAAAACAAAAGAGCATTTCCTTTTCTCCAACAAACCTAATTACAATAATGTTTAATATTAGGCCTTGTCAAAGAATAGACTGAAGCTGTTCATCTGGCACTCATCTCAGTAAAGCATGTAGGCCTTGTGTATGTTTTATTTGTTTGTTTTTTTGTATTATATTTAAATTTGATTATACTGAAGTTTTATGTATTGCAAATTATGTTTGAGTTAACTGTATGTGTAAGCAATGTGTATGTGTTCTTTGTTTGGTTTGTGTGTAGTATATTTCATATAATCATTGCTTTGTTCTCACAGGGTATCAAGTGGGTCTTCCTGCCTTGTAGATTAGACGACTATCACTACATCTCAGAGGTCGCCAAGGGAACTAACCCTAAACAGAAGCTGAAAGCTCAAGCTGCTGACATCAGACTAATGCACCCAGACTTTATCAGATATGTTCACAAAGTGTGAGTTCTCTTTCAGCCTTATGTCATTGATTTCTCAAAATCAGTCCTTTGTCTCTCATTCACACTGCCGGAAACGGCCCAGTGCCTTAACACAATGTCACACGCGGCAGTCCACGCTCTCGTCGGGTAAATCTAAAAGTCCCTATGGCTACTTATCAGAACATACTGTTTCATGATTTAGGAATTGTACATATCATTAAAAAACTGTAACTATCTCTCGTACTCTTTAGAATTTTCTTGTAGAGGGTATATGGGAAATTATTAGCATCAGTAGAAGTGTTTTTTTTAATTTGTTTTTCTTTTCTTGACTGCGAATTAGAATTTTTCTTGGGTCCAAATCCTGGGAACCGTTTCACAAAGCCTTCTTTCAATAACGAATGTCAAACATCAGTGACAAATCTGTTGATAACCAATCAGAACCAATTAGGAATTGTACATATCATTAAAAAACTGTAACTATCTCTCGTACTCTTTAGACTTTTCTTGTAGAGGGTATATGGGAAATTATTAGCATCAGTAGAAGTGTTTTTTATTATTTGTTTTTGTTTTCTTGACTGTGAATTAGAATTTTCTTGGGTCCAAATCCTGGGAACCGTTTCACAAAGCCTTCTTTCAATAACGAATGACAAACATCAGTGACAAATCTGCTGATAACCAATCAGAAGCAAGGATTTGAGTAGCTTATAACAAAAACCGTCATTTGTCACTGATGACAAGTTTTGTGAAACGCCTCCTGGTATGTTGCAAGGTCCAAAGACATGGAATTTTATCTACCAACATTTCAGTTTACCCGGGTGAAGTGAATGGGTGCCTGGGATTAACAAACTCTTTTAGTTATTTTATTTTATTTATTTTATTAAAAAGATAAAAACGGAATGACAAAGAAAAAAGTAAAGAATTTCATGATATGACCCTTATTCTATATTCCCCTACTATATCAATGTCCTTGTTCTCCCACCTGTCACCATTCAAGCAAGACCCATGCCACTCCCCGCTCCTCTCCATACCACTGTACTTATCTATCACCTATACATTTCCGCCCTTCATTTAATGATGTCGTGGACGAGTGGATGCGTCGCCGGACTGTCGATCACAAGGTCCGTGGTTCAAATCCCGCCGCGGCACTAATGTCCTTTGGCAAGACATTGATCTTCATTTGCCACACTCCACCCAGGTGAAGTAAATGGGGACTGGTAGGAAGGAATTTCTTGAATGCTGTGAGCACCGAAATCGGTAGCCTAGCAGAGCCGGGGTAATAATAGGGACTTCTAGATTTGCGTGGACTGATACATGTGACGTCCATTCAAGGCAGTGCATTAAAAGGACGTCGATCGTAGCAATCCACGTTGTCGTCGTGCAAATCTAAAAGTACCTAACGAAGCGCTTTGAGCACCCTGCAGGGTGGATATGTGCGCTATATAAATATCCATTATTATTATTATTATTATTAATTCAGCTGGATGCAGACCAGGTCCTTTCGTCCGAGTACTGGTTTCGTGATGTTCATGACGGCTCTCCAATCTGGATGTGATTCTGTCAGTGTGTACGGCATGGGATTTAACAAGAAGTACTCGGGATACTATTACGATAAAAAGTTCTATACCTACGAGAATACGTCAAAGAGCCATGATTTTTTAAGAGAGGTGAAAATCCTGAAGGAATTGGACAAAGCTGGTATTATAAAGTGGTACAAAAGAGATGTCCCTGAATTTCTCTCGTAGCCATTTACTATGAACATGACGGACAAAGAAAGAGTACCAAATATACAGTTCCTCAGGTAGACAAAGGAACATCCCTTCCCTGCTATTATGTAAAAATGTGTAGAACAGGTGTCATGCATTTTCACCTGTTCTACACATTTTTACATGATAATAGCAGTGAAGGGATGTTCTTTTGTCTACCACAGCAACTGTTGAGGGTAGAATGAGGAACTGTATATTTTGGCCTCTTTCTTTGTCCGTCATGTTCATAGTGATTGTAGGCAAGATGCACTGTTTTTTGTCACATGTTACATTTTCTCTGTTTTTGTATAAATGGAATATTTATGAGCTGACTAAAATCCTACCAAAAGATATTTTGGGGAACGTAGAAATAAATTGTATTCTTTGGACTTTATATATCTTACAAGGCTGCAGGACGAAAAAAATACCCCACGTGACGTGCATACAAGGTTTATGTATTGTGAGAAATATAGAAGAACTTTCATTAACTTTTGATTATGTACTGAATTGTAACAGATTCGATAAGAGTATATGAAGCTCATATTTTAATAAATTAAGGTAGGAGGTATAAAATAACGGTGCTATACCAACTATGTACATATAATACTCATATTGAGAACAAACTACATTGTACTATTTTTTCAATAAGCTTCCTATATTCACTTCCCATTCCCTTGTCTTTTGTTGTTAAAGCTAAAGACCAGTTATGGTCATGCGATTGCATTGTGAAAGAAACGTTGTGGAATCGATCAGAAAAGGTTGATCATCTAGCATCTAGCATCTGCAAGGTTCTGGAATCATCAAAATGATAAGAAATTTGGCCCATTCTTCGTAAAGTTACAAGCACTATACACAGAAAGATGTATATTGGACTACCCTATATCTCTCACAGACCATGAGAGAAACAAATTTAACAAATATATGAATTAGTAGGCGGTTTCCCGGCAAATTTTTTATCATCATGTATTAGTCATAACATATTCTTTCACATGATTGGTAATGAGAGCTTCCATTTCATTTTTTGAAATTGGGGCGTTTCCAATACTGGTCTTTACCTTTAAATGTGAGTATCGGTTCATGTATCCCTGTATAAATCTGCCTTTCACTGTTTTAGCGTGTATTTGTATTTTATAAACATAACTTTAGTTAATATTGTCATTTGTAGTTTAAGGAGCCTAACCACAACAAGTTCTGCTTTTCATAGGCTCCGCCACTATATCTCTTAAGTTCAACTCAAGGACAATATTCTGAATAGTGTGTACCGGTATTGTATAAACATGTATATCATAATCATTTTTAATATGTTGTTACACTCTTTGTAAAATGAGATATTGTTGAAACAAATATTATTAAAAATGTACTATTACTCAAAGTTTTGGAAGGTGTGTTGTGGATCCTGTCTAGAGGGGACACTTGCCTACAGTGGCTGTTTTTTTGTTTCCCTTTAATGACCTTGGTAAACAGGTTTGATTGTAGTACGTTTCGTGCACCTGGCTCCGTTCTAGGCAGTAGTGCCACTACTCACAGAGTGAGACATTCCACCACATGCAGAACCATCCATACCGTGTGAGTCAAAAAAAAAGTTTACACCTAGAAAATTGCTAATCATTTAAGAAATCATCTATGAACAGTAAATTATTATACATTTTATGAAAGTGTGTTTTATCCCAAATCATTTGGTATCATTTTTGTGTGGTATGTGATCACGTTTGGATGATTAGGAGGCATTTTTTGCGAGAGTGTAAAAATCGACTTGCGCCAAAGTGATGCATCCAATGGTATTATGTTGGGATTAGCGGAGTGGGAGAATGAATTGAATGTATCAAATGAAATGCATTGCATATGCTTTTTGCAGAAGCAAAGTCACACACAAACACCCGCATGCGCACAAAATTTTCGTTGATATTTGATATTCGATATTTGATATGTGTGGCATGATAAATTTTGTTAGGGATGTTATTTGGACCGGCAAAGACCGAAATAATACCAAAATCCTAATTGATTTATTCAAACTATTAATCATATGGTGTGTGGTCTGAGTCGCAGTCATGGCAATAACATTCTTTGGCAAACTATTCGTGTACACGGCCACTCTCCACCCAGCAGGAAACAGATATCTTTGAGGTTTCGCAAAAGCCAATGTGACTGATTTTCAACGGAATTCTCCCTAAGTAATGGAAATGGTGCACACTTGTGAGGGGGGCTAGAAATCTGGTGACCAAGTTATTTTAAAGTGATGTAATGATGTGTTATAAGTGTACCATCTTTATCGATATATAAAAATGAACCGATGTATGTATAAATAAGAATGTTTAATATAAGCAAATTCCATATACATATATACTGTAACGAAACCGGTTCCTGTCGCGATGTTCTTCCCAGCAGCTTCTCTTGTCAGGATGCCTTCTGCTGGTAGGTTTTCCTGGCCCGGTACCAATTTTACCGTGGATCCGTTTGGCAGAAATATACTGCCCCGTTGACGTTGACACCAGTCTGATATATTGCTCCGCACCACCTCTCGACCACCGTCTTCTACCAACCGTTGTACCGTCGTATACCACAAGCCAACTAGGCCAGTCCGCTTCTGCACCCTTCAGACGTCTATACCAGTCTGCTTGCGCATGCAACTCCAATTGGCCGCACCAGTTTGCTTCATGCACCTCCAAACAACCAGACCGTCTGACTTCGTACAGTCAGCTTACTCGACCATGCCACTGGCTCTGCTACACAGTAGTCCCTGGTATTGTCTAATACTAGAACGTAAAAGACCCAACAAACACAACCTAGATTCTTACCATGGTCGTCACCTAAAATCAGACTTCAACTTTAGGTTTCCCCATGGAAAGACATGCAAACGATCATCTCAATCATTTCGTTGCACGCAATACTTTATTGGGCAAATATCCAAACATAATCTGATTGCCTTACAATGTAAGTGTGCCCAGTGGGCGACGGCAATTATGTAGACTATGACAGGAAGCTCTCAGACCGTGAGACAATTGATTTATATACACATTTCTTATACATTTATTATTCTGGTTAGGTTTCCAAAAATTACATAAACATTGATATAACTCCACTTTACAATATCAGATTGAAACAAACCATATATCAAATGAAAGCATTAGTTTTATTCTATAAAACTAAACAAAAGAGAACAAGTAATTATTAATGGTAGAAAAGTAATTACACTAAAACTGTCAAAAACATGCACAATCGAACATTCTTAAACTTAACACGTGACTATATAGCGTCGTATATTTTACTTGAATTACGCCATCTACGACGAAATAACTACTACGAAATGAAACCAATTTCGTGACACAACTCCCTTATTTTCCTTAGCTCGGTCCCCGAGCGATATCTAACAACAATTTACAAACTGCATATAACACATTTACAGAAAATAACGTCCATGGGCATCTAGGTATCCTTCCCACCGGAACCAGCGGTTCTAAGTTCATGCAGTACTGACTGAATTATTTAACGAGAACTATCAGTGTCACTTTGAGTTTCAGCATTCTTACTAGCAATTTCAGTCCACTCTCTAGCCCATGTAGTCTCCGACGCCATTTTCCCAGATGAATATCGCAAGTCAAGTGGTGAAGGGGACCTTTCGTCGTTATCCTACTCTTCTCCTGGTTCGGGCGTAGATTGTCGGCTATGTCGAGGGGAAGCTTCCGATCCATCATGCTGTGGAGACTCCGGGGTCTTTTGACATGACGATTTCGTCAGGTCTCTTTGGGGCGATTTGGATTTTCGTCGTGATGAGCGGTAACGACGTGGTGATCTCCTTCGAGGTCGGTCCAATCTTGGATCATCACGTGGCGGCGACCGCCAGTCCATTCTTACATGACGCCACGATGCATCAGCTTTTTCAGAGGTCCCTGTTATTGGCGTGGAAGTGGGTTTGCATCTTGGCGAAGAAACAGGTGTTAAGCTGTGTTTTCTCACGGGAACCACAGCTACATCGTGGCCTCCCTGATGCCGCTCCATCTCCGCCTTCCTACCCGTGCGATAATCGCATTGGTCGCAACGGTACTTCAGGATATGCACTTCCCGCTTGTGTCTTTGCAAAGAGTCTTTCTTCTCATAACTTTTGGTACAAGAGTCACATTGAAAGAAGTGGGTAGTCGTACGTCGGGCATCAACGTCCTTGTTTCCCTGCTTGTCGGGTGGCATGTTTCTGCTTGCACTGGTTTCAGTGGGCATCGTCTGGTTGCACATTTCTGTGCCCACTTCTTCCACCGCTGACAATGAGGCAATGGCAGTGCCTGCCTTTATGTTCCTCTGTTCCCTTGTTGGATTGAACACCCTGACAGGCAACACATCTTCATCTGTCTTCACGACAGATCTGGCAACGATGGGTCCCTTTTTCCATGATTCGATTGGGTTCACAGGAGATTCTCATTCTACCAGTCCTTCACACAGTGCTTCCTTTTTACCTGTTACTCTGTCTGCTAGCACCATTTCGTGTCGTGGAGGAATTGAGTTTTCCTCCCCCGCCACTATCCTTCTGCAGAATGATTCTCCTTCACTATCTAGGCATGGAATTATGCCCCACTCGGTCCTCAATTCCATCTTGTGGCAGTCAAGTACAGCATTAGTTTGAACTAGGAAATCTAGCCCAAGAATGCCTTCGTTCTTGAGGCTGGCCACAGTTACCATTGTAGTGACAAGTGAATCTCCGATCTGCACTTCCAGCCTTGATTTACCTCTGGTCCTCAACGGGGTCCCATCTGCTTGTAGTACCACGCTGGTCACTGGTAATAACTCAGGTCTTCTATTATCCTCTATCCGGTCAAACACCTTATCTGAAATCAAAGTATTGGTGGCTCCAGTGTCGATCAGTAATTTCAAGGACTGTCCATTGATTTTCCCTTCCAGGAAAAGTCCTTTCGTGTTAGGATCCTGAGACGAACCAACTCTGGTCTGTTCCTCTTCATCTGTCATCCCATTTGCAGTTGCCCACTGCAAGTTTGTATTTGCTTTCTCTGCTGCTGGTGGTGCTGTTCCTCCCCTAACTTTCCTTGGATAAGGACATTGGTTCCTCCAGTGTCCCAATTCATTACAGTTGAAACACCGGTTATCTTTCCGTTCCGAGACTTTAGTTGGCATGGTTTGTTCCGGTCTCCTATCTGGTACATCTGGTTTAATCGTATTCCTCCCATTTCTCATGTCTAAGGCATCTAATACCTTCTTTACTATCTCATCGATAGTAGGATTCCTTGGTTGCTGTTCTCGGATGGCTGAAACCTCACACTCTTCCAGTGCTCGACTGTACGCGGTTGAACGCCTCACTTCGTTTCTCTGACCCTCCATCCTCAGGAAGGCCTCTGTATTTAAAGCTGCTTCCACGGCATCATCAAGCGTGCGAGGTTGAGCACGGAACAATCCTTCTCTTATTTCTGGTGTTACTACGGCATCCAGAAAATGCCCACGGGCTAGTCGGTCTTGTCCTTTTTCATCGAACTCGGGGTAGGACAATGCACACAGCTCCCGTATCGTTTGTCCTAATTCCTGGAGACTTTCCTTTGGTTGCCGACGACGCTGTCTCAACTCTGCTAGGTATACCTCAGCTTTACCTCCAAGACCAAACCGGTTCATGAGTCTGTATACCAACTCGTCGTATGTCAAATCCACTCCAGGCTGTTGGGTTAACAACTTCACAGAAGATCCTCTCAAACTTGCAGCAAGAAACTGCACTGCTTCTACTTTGGTCCATCTGTTTACTCCAGCACATGCCTCAAAATGGTGCAAGTAATCCTCGACAGGACTGCGACCGTCAAATCTGTCTGGTACCATATGGGGTCGTCTGCCGATTAATGCATCATTTGCCCTCCCCACATCATGCATAGGTGGAGAGAAAAGCGGTGGTGTAATATGAACTCCAGTTCCTGCACTGGGCAGCCGTCTACTTTGTTCTCGGGGCGTTGAACTAAATCTATCCCGCTGTGCCGCTGGCATCTGTGAATCTGCAGTTGGTCCTGATGCAGTTTGTCCACTCAGAGTTGGGGGAAATGCTTCCTGGCGGCCTGGTTCTGGGTCTGCAACTGGTACCTGACTCATCGAAGCACGTAGTTGCTCCATCATTTGATCTACTTCTGTCATACTCCTTTCTAAGTGCTTCATCATTTCTCCTGGCGTTGGTCGATTCTGCCTATTTCTTCCTTGTGCCATTGTCACTGGATCCCACTTCTGACACCACATGTAACGAAACCGGTTCCTGTCGCGATGTTCTTCCCAGCAGCTTCTCTTGTCAGGATGCCTTCTGCTGGTAGGTTTTCCTGGCCCGGTACCAATTTTACCGTGGATCCGTTTGGCAGAAATATACTGCCCCGTTGACGTTGACACCAGTCTGATATATTGCTCCGCACCACCTCTCGACCACCGTCTTCTACCAACCGTTGTACCGTCGTATACCACAAGCCAACTAGGCCAGTCCGCTTCTGCACCCTTCAGACGTCTATACCAGTCTGCTTGCGCATGCAACTCCAATTGGCCGCACCAGTTTGCTTCATGCACCTCCAAACAACCAGACCGTCTGACTTCGTACAGTCAGCTTACTCGACCATGCCACTGGCTCTGCTACACAGTAGTCCCTGGTATTGTCTAATACTAGAACGTAAAAGACCCAACAAACACAACCTAGATTCTTACCATGGTCGTCACCTAAAATCAGACTTCAACTTTAGGTTTCCCCATGGAAAGACATGCAAACGATCATCTCAATCATTTCGTTGCACGCAATACTTTATTGGGCAAATATCCAAACATAATCTGATTGCCTTACAATGTAAGTGTGCCCAGTGGGCGGCGGCAATTATGTAGACTATGACAGGAAGCTCTCAGACCGTGAGACAATTGATTTATATACACATTTCTTATACATTTATTATTCTGGTTAGGTTTCCAAAAATTACATAAACATTGATATAACTCCACTTTACAATATCAGATTGAAACAAACCATATATCAAATGAAAGCATTAGTTTTATTCTATAAAACTAAACAAAAGAGAACAAGTAATTATTAATGGTAGAAAAGTAATTACACTAAAACTGTCAAAAACATGCACAATCGAACATTCTTAAACTTAACACGTGACTATATAGCGTCGTATATTTTACTTGAATTACGCCATCTACGACGAAATAACTACTACGAAATGAAACCAATTTCGTGACAATACATACATATATATACATAAATAAATATATACATATATTTACCTTACGGCGTCATTGGGCGGACATAATTATGTAGTGAAAAAATGAGTCATTAAGTATACATGGTCATTAGCAGGACATTTTCGTGTCCTGTTAACGACTGAACAAAAGAAGTACTGCCCTTTACGTACGTTTGCAGGCAGAGGGAACTAAAAGGCCTCCCAAGAAGCAAAAGGTTTAATCATTTGTCATTAGTTTAATAAACCATATGTTTGTTCTGGATTTACGGTTAGGGTTAGGGTCAGGGTCAATATACCAGTTTTATGATGTTCGGTTATTGTACTATGTAGGGTATATTTAAATGTTAATACAACAATATGGTATATATATATATATATATATAAACCTCTCTTTAGAAATCTAGCCATCTGATTGGTCGAAATTGGAGTCGTGATTTTAGCCAGTTTTGATGTGTGTGTCTCTGTGTGTGTTTGTGGTGTTTGTGTGATTTTCGTGTGTATGTTAGGGTTAACTAATGAATGTCAGTGTGTTTATGTGTGCATGTTAACCATTGATATGACCATGAAATTAGTTTTATCCCAATATTATATCCCATAAAAGAGAAGAAAATTTAAGTATACACATCGTCGCATTTGCCCGTATGGCAGCCATATTGGAATTGACCATTGTAACAGCCCAAAAGGAGACCACATCGATGAAAGAACATTATAATCAGTTTCTCTGATCACGAAAACCCCACTGTTGTTAAATCATGCCTTTATTTCATATAAAAGGTATACATGTGTACATTCCCTTTCCGAAACCATGGCAGGTCGCACTACATATAAAAAAATACAAACAATAATGCATTACAATTACAAATATGTATCAGTCATGCATAATTACAATTATATATTAATCATGTATAGTTACATTAATACATCAATATACATTACAATCATACATCAATCATGTATAGTAGCAATTATTAATCGTGCCTGTATTTAATGCATAGGTTGGCAACAAAATTAAATTAAAAAAAAAGAATTAAGGGGATTATGATTTTCTGAACATGCGGGTAAGGGCTCGGAGTAGGAAACGATGTACGAAAATGTGAAAGAGATGAGAAAGTAGAGGGTACATTATAGGCTGGAGATAAAGTGTAAACGAGTGTAACCAAGTCATTCCACTTGGAATAGACGGAGTGGAAGAAAAGGGGGAAAGTAGGAGGGGGGGGGGTAAAGAGAAGAGAGGGGAGAAAAAGCATAAAGATGGAGTTAGGGAGGAGGAGGTTGGAGAGGTAGGCGAGGAAGAAAAGTTAGGAAGAATGAGAGAGAGAGAGGGGAAAAAGAAGAGGACGAAGAAGAAGAAGACGAAATAAGGCAAAGAAGAAGAGGAAGAGAAAGAAGAAAGAGAAGAAGTGTTGAAGAGAATGAAGTGCTAATTAAAGTTCCAAGATATTCCACATCCTTCCACTGATTCTTTCCTTGCATTCAATATGACAAAGGATGACACGACTGCGTATCTACTTATTTTCTGAAAGAAACTATTCGGGCGAAGAGGGACTGAACATTTCCTGAGTAGCCACTTTAGCCGATTTGTTGTTCCTATTTATTTGCCCCCTTACTCCTATCTCGAGAGCATGGTATGTCACACTGTAACAGAGGCGGATCCAGGGGGGGGGGCGGGGGCCCGACCCCCCCCCCCCCCCCCTTGAGAAAAAAATCATGTAAAGACACGTGATTTTTACCTTTTTTGGGGGGGGGGAGTGCAAATTTTTAAATTTCGAGGACCAAAAAAAATAAAATTGCTCACTACCCCCCCCCCCCATTTACCTTTAACAAAAACAAGAGCAACAACAACAATGATAATTGTGATGATGATGGTGATGATGATAACAATAATAATAATAATAGTTTTTTTTTTCTTTTTTTCTTTGCCTCATCAGAGGATTTATTGATTATATATACATGGTTACATTCAAAGATACAATACTACAAATCACATTTACATAATCGCAAAAACATTATTATTGTCATAACAAAGAATTGAAATTAAGTTTTGCTTTGCAAAGCAATTGAATCATAATTAACATACAAATTATACTGATAGTTTTGATTCCCTTTCTTTTTTTTCTTTTTTTTTCTTTTTTTTTTTTTTTTTTTTTTTTTTCTTTTCTTTTCTTAAATAACACCCAACAGTTCTTTTGGTAAAAGTTTTCTGTTCATCTTTAAGTTTGATTTACTTTCCATTCTTTTTATAATTTCTCTATGGAGATTTTGTTTAGAAGCAACTTTTCTCCTGTCTATCCCAGTTATATTTCGTTTAACAATCAATTTATAAATGGTCCAAAATGCTATTGTAAAGAATAATATACAATGACTTTCACAATCTATTTTGAGTAGGTGTTGGATATTGAGCGTCAGTATCCTTACTTTGTATTTATCTCTTAAAATATAATAATAGTTATAAAGACAGATAATATCAAAGATGATAATGAATAATTAAAAAAAATTATGATGATAATACTATAATAGTAACAATATCAGTAACACGACACTACTACTACTACTACTACTACTACTACTACTACCACTTTCATTACTGATAACCATCACACGTTTCTCTATATTCAAACATGTCTACTACTCGTTTGGGATGAAGTCATTCGTCCTTAGATTAATTGACAGATGTTTGGTCAATTTATCCCAGAAACAATCTTGTCCTCTCACTTCCTCAGTCCAGTGAATATAGGGTCTGCCATCATTGAGGTACAACCTCGCCAAGAATGGCATTTCATCATCTGGGATGTCTTCGAGGAAAACCACGACTACGAATTCTGTCAGAGTGTCACTCACGTGGTCCATGGCCGTACGCAACTTGAGTATGAACCAGTGGTCGTGCACAGCAGCTCTGCTAATCACTATGATGGTCTTGTAACTATGGCTCACCACATAATCGACGGATTCTAAGTAATGCATACCCAACACAAGGTCTTGATCACCAAAGACGTTCCTCTGAAACTGTGGAAGCCGTTCTTTGAGAGCTGGTCGGAGCTGTTCACGAATCCATTCTTCGTCATCGTCGTAGAAAATTATGTTCACGTCAAACTCGTAATCATTGTGGTCACGAACGTCTCGCATCTCTTTATAGCCCAGTATGGCCAGTTTCAAGAGAAACAGTTTGTACCTCAACTGCCATCGGTAGTGATACAACAGCACGCTGATGGCAACCAAGCTAATGGAGACGAGGGGAATCAGAGAGAATATACCATTGTTTATTATACATAGTTCATTTGGATCAAACTCAAGCAGGGGTTTCTCACGAAGAGGCTTCAGAGATGCTGACGAACAAATAGTTTCGTCCTTGTTTTTCAGGCTTATATGTTCATTTAACCAATCAATAAGCCACTTTAGATCACAGTTACAATCAATTGGGTTCATTGATAGATCAAGTGATGAAATGGAGGAAAAGATCGGCTTGAAAGTGCTTTGATTAAGGCGCGTTAATCTGTTGTCGGCCAAGGAAAGATTTGTGAGCTTCCAGTTATGTGAGAACATTAGCTCCTCCAAGTACGCAATACGGTTTCCTTCAAAGTTGATATTTTGTATTTGATCCAACCCCGACAATACATCATCATGAATATGATGGATGTTGTTTCCCTCCAAACTTAACTTCTGAAGTGATTCCAATCCCGAGAAGACAAGAGGATGAAGATTTTTAATATCGCAGTAGTCTAGATTTAGCTCTTGTAAAACAGAGAGTTGCTGGAATATCCTTGGCGGTAAATCGTTCTCCTCACTCAGGAGAGGGTTAATACTCAAGTCCAAATGAATAAGATCCAATAATCCATCGAAAACAGACGCGTTTGCAGTTGAACTCCATATGTTCTTCAGCCGAAGCTGAGAGTCTTTCATGTTTAAATTAACAAGGGATTGTAAATGTTTAAATGATTTTACTGGTCGCAAAGCAAACCAAACTAGAGAAAGAGAATTTAGGAAAAGTGATCTTAATATTGGGGTGTTCAATTCCAGAATAACTAAACTACTTCCAGTCAAATGAATGGCTTGAATATTGTCAAGTCCCGAAAAGGCGGTCAGCTTAAAGGCAGAAAGGTATTTGTTTGAGCTCATGTCTAAGAAAGTTAAATTTCCTAAACCACGAAATACAGATGCAGATATTTCTTTTAACAGATTACCGGATAAGTCAAGCTCCGATAAGTCCACTGTCCAAGTCTGATCGTGAGGATTAATTTTTGTCACTTGGTTACTTTTGATTATCAGTACCTTTAATGCCTTCATGCCCTCGAAAAAAGCTGGTTGAATTTCGTCTATTGGTAGATTGTTATGACTGAAACTTAATTGTTTGAGTTTTGTCAAATTTGAGAAGACTAAAGGATGGAGGCTATTCAGGTCATTGTAGCTGAAGTCTAGAACAGAGAGAGAAGAATCGCGCAGAGGATCAAAGAAACCTTTAGGAAACTCACCAACAGAGCCTTCCTCGATTGTAAGCTCTCCGATGTCTGATTTTGAGATTCCGAGGATGATGTTTGCCAACACCTCGTAACTCAAATAGCAGCGACCTAGCATCAAAGAGCGAACATGTAGTGATGCGATCACATCAGGGTCTACTGATCTGATAGGGTTGTCTGTAAGATCTAGAATATCAGTGTGGCACACAAAGGTGAAATCTCTCGCTGTAAGGTGTTGCAGTCGATTACCACTCATGTCTACCAGGGATATCCCTGTGTCTACAGTGTCGGCCATGCCACAATAACTTACATTGATGAATGAGAGCTGGTTGAAGAACAGTAATGCAGAATCTAGACGTGGACTCCATTTTAGGATGTCATTGGGGAGCGAATTCAAGTTTGATGCCGCTAACTCGAGATAGGAAAGCTGTGAAGACATCATAAAGACGCCTGTTGCCGGAAGTACAAGATTCTGGTTAAAGGCTAGAGTCAGGTTTTTTAAGCCCTTGAGGGGGTAAAAAGCGGCTGGTTCTATCGCTCTTACATCGTTTACAGAAATGTCCAAAAAGTGGATAAGAGGGTATACTTTAAACGAGGAGTTCAAAAGTTTGTTGATATTGTTATAGGACAAGTCAAGCTCCTCGGTATCCTCAGAAAGATTCTGAGGAACCGTGTTCAGGCCTTTATTGCTGCAAGAAGCTCTTTTCAGTTCAAGGTTCTGATCGCATCTATGGAAAGATTTGTACATGTCCTTTGTCAAGGATGTCACAGCCGAATCTTCATCATGTCGATGTAAAGATTGAAAGGACGAACTGACTATGAGACAAGCGACGAGCAATATGTACAAGTTTGAGCCGTTTGCCATGCTGTCAATATCTCATCTTTGAAAAAGGAAAGGTACTCCTTTGTCGGATGATAATCAATCGCTCTTAAATATCTTATGCTAACACAAGCTCGTAGAAGCAAAAACAAATTTTGATCCTTTGCTGCAGACGGTCAGCCTCATTTTGAGCTGTGACGAATCCAAACTCATATTGCATGTGTGGATAAACATTTAAACATTTACAAGTAATAAGATCACACTCAAAACCATATGAGACATTTTAAAGGGTATGTACTAAAGAACACAAGGGCAAATAGAAGTTAACACCGACATTAAATATAATAGGTCTATTAGTCGGCACTTAAAACCTGAAACTTTGTATACAGAAATCTTATAGAAATATAAATACCATTACACACTCTTTCTGTTTCCATTATCTTGAAGTGGTATGGGATATGATAGGCCTACTATTCGGCACTTAAAACCCGAAACTATTTATACGCAAGGGCAAGCAGAAGTTAGCATCGACATTGAATATAATATGCCTACTAGTCGGCACTTAAATCCTGAACCTTTTTAAACAGAAATCATGTAGAAATATCAATATCGTTAAAGAGAAGGTTGAGTTCTGGGAAGAGGTGAAAAATAATTTGTGAGCATTACTCATTCTTATTATGCAAGTGTGGAAGAACATCAGTTAAGACATGTTCCCTCAAAAGCTTGGCTCTTCAAATGCCTTCATATTCTAAATATGCATGTAACATCGTACAAATCGGGGGGCCGGCTTTTTACGCCACGTATTCGAGTAGTCCCATATACATCTTTCTGTGCAAGTGTTTGTAACTTTACCAAGACTTGGCCACATTTCTTATCATTTTGATGATTCCAGAACCTTGCAATACAAACACATTCTTATATGCTATATGATCAACCTTTTTTGGTCGGTTCCACACCGTTTCTTTCACAATGCAATCGCATGACCAGAACTCAACTTCATCTTTAAACGCTCTTTCTATTTCCAGCATTTTGAAGTGGGCTATTGAAATACCACATACAAAAAAGCCATAAGCCGACGAAGGACATTGATAGGTACAGCCTATATATAATGCATCCTGCGAAAACTCAAGGTGCCTATGAAGTACATGTACTGCTAAAATGGTTTTGTATTGAATTGTATTGTACTGTAATGATATTAATAATAGTTATAATAATAATTATAATGATATAATAAGAAAAAATGGTAATAAATGAGATTTGTTAGGCGCTATATGGTTTCCCTATTGTATTGTATTGCATTCTATTGTATTGCATTGCATTGTACATATTGTATTGGATTCTATCAAATCATACGAAATGCAGTTAAAATATCATCATACGCATCATTATCGTCATCATCACCACCATCATCATCATCATCTTCTTTATAATTCCTATCATTACTTTCATTTTATCATCATCATCATCATCATCATCATCATCACCATCATCATTATCACCATCATCATTATCATCTCCATCATCGTCATATTCACATGCAGTTTCCTAACAGTTTCTAGGGTTAGCACAAAATAAGACCACAGACGACAATGACTTCAACTTTCCATGGCTTCGTTCATTATTATTTGCATAAATATGTGAATAGGCCTAAGATGCTGGCATAACTTGTGGCATATAATTATTTAAAAAATACTTACGAAAATTGTGGAGCCACCATGTGGCATCCATATACAAGGCTATATAACTATAGGATTTCAACAAAAAACTGCCCTATACATTCAATCTTAAACAGTAAGAAAGGATAAAAGCTGTACACTTTTACATAAATATGTACAAAAGAACAATCATGTTTGATATAAAAGTCTTCTTTTTTTTTGTGTTAAACTTCAAATTCTGATCTGGATAGATTTTATCTTTCCAAAACAGCTAGTTGTATCATTGAGCAATGAACAAACTTGAAAGTCATTCTCATGTCAAGTTTTTGTCGAACATGGGAATATTCCATACATCAAAATTACAATCTCTTCACATATTCCACACGACAGTCCTTGTAAAACATATCATACTTCTGATTATTTTAACCTTTGCCCTTCTAAGATGTCCAACCAACCTGACAACTTCCTGCTGTAAGCCTTATTCCCAAATTTTTATTCCAAATTCCCAAGAAACATGGGCAGCGTACAAAAATCCGTCATAAGTACAAGGTTCGCTGACGACCTATGATATGCGTATATTAAATTCGACATGATGTTGGCCAAGTTGTACTTCTGATGGTTTGGTGAAACACTGGCCTGGTATGGCACAGTAAAGTGAGATACACTGTAAGTGAAGTGCCTCTCTCTGTATTTATCACACACATATATTAAAATGAGTTCACTTAAAAGCAATGTTACGTGCTGACTTGTTATTATTTTCCACTCCCACTCGCCATCTATGAACACGTATTTTTTTTTTAATTTGCCAGAGCATTTTACAGCATCATGTATCAACGGGCCTGTTCTGGAGTCAGTAAAAGCTTTGTCTCACAAAGCGCATGTCGTTTAAAGGGAAAGTCTAGAAATGAGGCTTTATCGACACAAATTCAAGAGCACATAATCCTGTCTAAAATTTTCACAAAAACAAAAAGATCGCCTTACGTAAGTTGGTTCTCAATCATTCAAACTTCTAGTATCTTAGTGTAAAAAGGATTTGTTATATTATTTCATCTGTAAGAGGTATATGATATTCACCCTGTCGTTATTTCAATACATATGAGCAGCCATTTTCCATTGACCTTTACACATCTAAAGAATAGAGCTCTTGAAGCGATTATGAACGTTGTTCATACAGTGTAAATCACTTCACTGATATAAAATAAAACCTACGAGCTTAAGCCTATATTACAGCCTAGGCTATTTTGAAACTGCAAAGCCCAGGGGTGGGGGGGGGGGACTTAGAAGCCCCCCCCCCCCTAAGATCTCGGTCGTGAAACGGCCGATCGCCGCCAAAATATGCATGCATGTCAAGTTACTATGGTAATTTCAATTATTTTAGAAAGTTCACTTATTTGCATATTTATGGTAATTTAGGCCTATGCAATTAAGGTCATAAAACTCACATTGTTACCCATAAATCGTATATTCTTCATATTCCAACATTCGTTTTCATTACATGTATTCTTTAGACCATTTGGAACAATACTACAACAACTTGATAGAGCCAGGTTATTCTTTATGTTATCTATTGTTTTGATAATTTCTTATGCATTCCTTTATTTGCTTTTATTATGTATTTCATTGTTTTTGTTGTTTGTTATTTTGTCTAACTATAATTCAACTACTTTGACCCCCGAGAAAATCATCTTAACTATAAACAAGACCAAATAACGAATGTTTTATCTCTTTTGGGGGGGAAATGATATTTGCACATGTTTTGTACACAAATCACGAAAATTAGCGATTTTCGAGCTGACATGCAACGACAAAAGGTCATGTGACTTTGTAGCGGTAGGTCCGATTTTCGAAAAAAATGTTTCAAAACATGCGCGAGACTCGAAAGAAGAAATTCATAACATTTCAGCGCTAGATTCTGGTGCGTTAAACAATAATCTCGACAAATTTAGAGTGGGGGGGGGGGGGAGGGAAGCTTCTAAAGCCCCCCCCCCCGGGGTATTTTGGGTGAAGGAGAATGAGGTAGTCTATGAACTTCTAAATGCCCAAAGAAATCTCTTTTATATCCCCTATAGCAAAGAAAAATCCCACCTCCTTGCATTTGATGACTGGGTTTTGCAGCATAAATGATTTTCCCATGCTGGTTAGATTTTAATTGATGTGATGCTTCTTTGTAAACAGCAGTGGCGGACCCAGGGGGCGGGGGCCCGCCCCCCCCCCTTGGGAAAAAAGAATGGAAAAAAAAAAGGGGGAAAAGGAAAAAATAGGGAGGAAAAAAGAGAGAGAGAGAGAGAGAGAGAGAGAAGGAAAAGGAGGGAAAGAGGAGAGAAAGGGAAAGAAAGAAGAGGAAGAAGAAAAGAAAAGGGGGAAAAGGGAGATCGGGGGGGGGCAAAAGGGCCTCGCCTCCCAGGCTGTTGCATCCCCCCCCCCCCCCCCCCAATCAAAAAAATAAGAGAGAAGGAAGGAAATGGACAGAAAAAAGGAAAAGAGGAGATAAAGGGAACGAAAATTTAGGAAGAAGGAAAGAAAAAAAGGGGGTATCAGTTGCAATTTTCCCGCCAACAAGTTGTGGTTCGGGGTGGGGGTAGGGCAAAAGGCCCTTGCCTCCCTCCGCCCCCGCAAAAAAAAGAGAGAAGGAAGGAAAAGGAAAAAGAGGAGAGCTAAAGGGGACCGAAAAAGAGGAAGAAGGAAAAAAAGGGTGAAAAGAAGGGGAAATAGATAATTTGCGGTTAATCCTGCCAACATCGTGTGGAGAAGGGTGGGGGCCAAAAGAACCTTGCCTCCCCCCCCCCCCCCCCCCCCCCCCCTCCCAGCAAACCTAAAAGAGAGAGAAGGAAGGGAAGGGAAAGAGAAGAGAAAGGGAACGAAAAAAGAGAAAGAAGAAGGGTAGGGGAAATCAGTTGCGATTTTTCCGCAAAAAAGTGTTGATCAGGGGGGGGGGGGGGTACTGGCGGAGAACGGTACAACGAA